GTTCTGTTCTTATCTTTGCAGGAGAATACTCATCTTCAAAAATGCAAGAGATCTTGGATGTTTGGATGATGACAGAAGGAAAAATAACTATCCAATAAGGATCATCAAGAAAAATGAATATGATTCATAAGTACAGATATTAAAGCATATACATTTATATGTGTGTGTGTGTGTGTGTGTGTGTGTGTGTGTGTGTGTGCTTGTGTGTGTATGAATATAAAGAATTTGCTTTGGAGTTGGACACTAGCTCTATCCCTCTCTAAATCTAAGCATGTTGTTAAAATAAAAATTTAGAGTTTCTGTCTCATGTCAGGGGCCATGATATGGGACAGAAAGAACAAAGAATTTTTAAAAAATTACTTTTCTTCATATCTGTTTGTCTCTATCATACTGCTCATTAATATATATATGTCTGCATATGTTTATATAAATAATGTTTAAGTTTTCCACAATGAACAATGAATTTTCCTGCAGTAATCTTTGAAGTTTCAAGGAAGAAGATGGGGCCCCACAACAACAAATCCAACTGGTTGATATGACATCATTATGCTGATAGTGCTACTACAAGTCCTGTTTTGTGTACCAACTGCTTCAGATGGTTCCAAGTTGGTTAGCTGAAATGGTGCCCTTTTATACAACGTTCTGGCCAGACCTCCAAATTGGAACCTCAGAAAAATCCTACCAAATTACTCCGAAACTATTTGCAATTATACCAAACAGTAATCTTGAAACTTAACAATCATTTTACTTTCACAGGATCCCATAGTAAGAACATCACCTCCATGACAGCTGGAAGTAATTTAGAAGAAGAAGTCCCCTCTCCCAACAAAGTTTGTCCTCAGGGTTAGTGACATCATTTAGGGGTTGATTGTGATTGATATAGGGTTGAGGGTTGGGGGGAGAATTTTATAGGCTCAGACATCTCTTTGAAAGAAAAAGGGGGAATTGGGTGGGATAATAGATTAGTGTGAGCTTACTCATACTAATAATAATAGTGACAATAATAGAGTGAATACTTACTTGTGAGTTGTTATTTATAGGCAATTACATTGGTATAGATTCTTGTATATTGATACAGAGTTAAATTATATTGAATATTTTATGCATGCATGCTTCTACCCCTGCTTAAAACATATTTTATATATTGATATATATTTATCATATTGCAATGTCCATTTCTACCTCTGATCAAGATACTTATACATTGTTTACATTTTGAGGTCATTGTCCTCATTTGTTGTACAATTGTTTATTGTACAATATTCTAATATGTAGTCTTAGTCTTTAAGTTATATAAATATTAAAATTATAGCTCAATAGTCATCTATGTTTGTAATACTTATAGTTAGACTAATAAGGTTCTTTAGATACATAGAGATTATATTCTGCATAAATAGGTAATCTTCAACTGCTTCAAAGAGCTGTAGAATATGGTATTTAAATAACTTAGGGTTCTGTTGAAGTGAGACACAATTGCTCCTGGCGGCACCGATCTATTCCTGAGAGAATGATGAATACCAAAGACACTCCACTTGGAGCTTCTTTTCTTCTTGGCAAAACAGGCCTTTTGTCAAAGAAATGCCCATGCCTCAACCACTGACAAGATATATAGTATCCAGAAGTGGATAAGCAGGACTGTCAAATTTTGCCAAGACAGTGTAAGAAAGTTTTGAAAACTTTCCTGCTCTGCGGGATCTGAATTCAGCACATTAAAGACAGAATTTAAGAATCGTTCATTTTCTAACATGCACTCAAGCTGATTGTAAAGAGCAATCGTGTGTAGATGCTACTGATAGCAATAACATTAGTGAGGAAAGCACGTACACTTTTTTTTAGATGTGCAGTGGTACTTCTTGTAGAAGCAATGGAATATTATTTGGGTGAAGGTCAAAAAGATAGGGCTAAGAAGGGATTGATGTTACCTAACACTATTGCATCTAAGTTTGTGACTGCTATTTTTTGAACACCTGGAGGAAATACTACAGAAAATAAAGTTGCTTTATAATTTACAAAAGTAATTGCATCAGCAAGATAGGGGGATAATTTTCTGTGCAAGCAGCTCCCAGGGAGTTGTGAAAATCATTTGCGTTTTACCAAATTCTCTTTTACATTCTGTCATTCACCATAAAACCAGAAGTTTGTGTTTTAAAGTTTGTGTTTCAAAAATTGTTTGTAGTATACAAAGAACCACTTCTAAGAATGCAGTAAACTCTTTAACTGTGTGCATTGACATGGAAATTACAATTTTCAGATTAAATGGTACATGATTATGGTGGTTTGAGATAAAAAGCCTAGCTACTGGATAAGTTATAAACACAAAGCAATACAGACTGTTACTGAGCAATGCATTTCTGAATCTGGTTTCTTTCAATTCTTTACTAGAATAAAAACAAGAGTGAGATTCAATGTCAAAGTCTTGACTAATAGTGCTTTTAGTACTTCCAGTTGTGAAGAAATAAAGATCCAAACACACTGACAAACTATCAAAATGGACATCACTTAAAATCCATTAGGTGTTTTGTATGATTTTTTTTCAAGTTTTACTTATTAAGTATAGACTCCTTTATATGAAAAAAGTAATCACTAGACTGGGAAGATGGCTCAGCCGGTAAAATACTTGCTGCATAAGAATGAGGGCCTGAGTTCAGATCCCCAGAATCCACATACAAGGCCAGATAGGGTGGTGTCTATTTGTAATCCCAGTGCTGGGGAGTGAGTGAGAGATGGATGGATTCCTGGAATTCATTGCCAGTTTGCTCTAGTCAAATTGACGAGCTCCTGGTTCAGTGAGAAACACTGTCGAAAAACAAAAGGTGGAGAATGACTGAGTTAGAAACTTGACCCATGAACACAGTCAGGAGACTGCACACAGCTGCCCACGTATTTACATGAACATTTACATACACCACACACACACACCAAAAGGAGGAGAAGGAGGAAGAGGAGTAGGGTGGAGAACAATCAGAAGAATAGAGAATTATGAAGGTCTGCTCGTGACAGGCTTTACCACTGGTTTGCCTGATATCTTGAGCTTTAGGATGGATGATTAAAAGTTTTTCTTTTAAATCCCCCAGGTCTTGAATTTTGTAAAATGCTTTTTCCACATCTAAGGAAATGATCATATGGTTTTGTTTCTTTCAGTTTATTTATATGATGGATTATATTGATAGATTTTCTTATGTTGAACCAGCCCTGCATCTCTGGGATGAAGCCTACTTGATCATGATGGATGATTTTTTTGATGTATATTTGGATTTGATTTGCCAGTATTTTACTGAGGATTTTTGCATCCATGTTCATGAGTGAGATTGGTCTGTAATTCTCGTTCATGGTTGAGTCTTTGTGCGGTTTTGGTATCAGGGCAACTGTCACTTCATGAAAAGAGTTTGGCAATGAGCCTTCTGTTTATAAAGCCCTTGGCTTTTTTTGGTTGGGAGGTTTTTGATGACAGTTTCTATCTCCTTGTGGCTTATTGGTCTATTTAAATTGTTCACCTGGTCTTGAATTAATTTTGGTAGATGGTATCTATCCAAAAAATGTCCATTTCTTTTACATTTTCCAATTTTGTGGAGTACAGGTTTTTGTAGTAGAATCTACTGATTCTCTGAATTTCCTCCATGTCTGTTGTTATGTCTCCCTTTTCATTTCTGATCTTGTTAATTTGTGCGTTCTCTCTCTGCCTTTTGATTAGTTTGGATAAGGGTTTGTCAATCTTGTTGATTTTCTCAAAGAACCAGCTCTTTGTTTCATTGACTCTTTGTATGGTTTTCTGTGTTTCTATTTTGTTGATTTCAGCCCTCAATCTGATTATGTCCTGTCTTCTACTCCTGGGTGAGTCTGCTTCTTTTTTTTTCTAGAGCTTCCAGCCAGGTCATTTTAGAGGGACAGCGTCATGTCATGTCATTTGAGAGGGACTGCCACAGGAATTATCCACACCATTTTGGGCAGAGAAAAGGAATGAGTTGCATAAAATGCACCATAAACAGGGTGCATCCTTGGTCAGCAGTTCAGCTTCTAAGAGCTCCGTAGACTGCATTCCCTGGTGTGCTTGGGGTACATGGATATTTTTGGCTAAATATCTAAAATCCAGGAGCAGTTTGTTCATTCATACTTGTATCTTCAGCCGTGGTGGCTTATCTGTTTGGATCAATGAATACACAATGACTACAATAACTGTCGTTTGAACTTGGATGAATTTCACCAGCCTCTAAGGGAAAGATTTCTCAATTTCTCTCAATGACTACAAATGCACCGTTGATATAAACCAAGCCTTTACAGTTGGAATTACATAAGTTTCTATTGTTAAAAGCTAGTGATTAATTGTGGGCTGGGAACTCCCAGCCTCCCAGATATCTAGTTTAGAACTTTTCCATTTTTTACTTTACTGCTTAATCTAGACAACAACCACATACCAAAAATGGAAGTTTCTTTTAATTGGTATTCATGATCTCATTTGCTTAGAACTTTAATATTTTGAAAGAATACATGGCCAGTACTAATGGTGATCGTGTTCCATTGATAGACATCTACAGACTGAAGAACGAGGCCCTGTCCTCCTCTGTTGGTGAAGGGCATCCTGTCACCCATTCTCTCCATAACCTCAGAGAAGTCTTCATTGTTTTCATGTCAATGAGCATTCTCATCTTACTGTGTCATGGCGGGGGTGGGGGTGAGGAGGATCTAAGATATACTACATAGGAGTATCATAATCACAAGTTATGAAAAGGGGACATGTATGCTTGCCATAGGTATTTTACAATGAATTTTTCAACCCTGATTTGATCACAATCTAAACCTAAAGGGCTGGAGCAATTTAGATTTCTTTTGAATTTAATTGTTCACTTTGAGAAAAACCTCAAGGTCTTGTAAGAATTGCAGCAGGGCGGAAGGAGAAGCAGGGACCCAGCTGCTTTGCACATCAGAGAACCTGAAAGTGAAGAGTAGATTGGATGAGAAGCAAAACCACAGCCCAGAGTCTCTGTTCACTTGCTCTCACAGAATCACTCAGGCTCTCTCCCAGCAGTTCTCCTGACTTTCCTCCTGAAGACACTGCTAGGGCAGAGAATACCATCCAGCTCTGGAGATTCCAAGGGAGGAAGAGGAGTCTTCTGCTTGAGGAGTCTGCCCCTGCCTGATAGGTACTGAGAATGAAGACACTGCCTGTCATGTTTGAGATTCCAGGGTTGTTTAGCAAACTCTTAATCCTCCATGTGGGCTTCTGGAGCATCCTAGGTAAGGCACCTCCTAAGGGGATTTCTTGTTTTCTTCCTCAGTGTTCATGTTGGCGACAGTTTTCCTTGTTGAGCTTGCTCAGGGGAGAGGGATGCTTATGTCCAGCATGCAACTCAGTAGTTACCTTTGCTTCCTGAAAGTGCTAGAGGGTGCAAGTGAACTTAGAATATGGGATTCACCTGCCTACAGAGCAAACACAGAATCCATACCTTGTCCAAGTTTTCTAGAAACCTGTCCTCATGGTAAGTAAAGATATTTTAGCAGACGTTATAAATGCTTAAGTACAAATTTGTCACCATTGCTCATGAAATCTCTCTGGCTGTCATACTAATGGAAAATAAATCTCATGTTCTCTCCACATGGATGTCAGCAGGAAGTCGTAGTGCTTAATTGGGTGGGGAAGGTGTTGGATACTTGAGTTCATAGCTGTGGTCATGGTTACTCTCAAAAAATGTTCACTCTAAATACAATCCCTCCTTGCTTTATGGGGTGAACTACGAAAACACTGGACAAGCACCATGCTGTGAAGTAGAGCAGCGAGTGCTAGTGTTGTTTCATTGTTGAACGAGGAGATTCATAAGCGGTTGCCAGCTGAACATAGAAAGTAATTCTCCATAGGTGATGCTGGTTCATCCCTACAAAGCCTTTTTGTTTTCAAAACCTGCAGTTCTTCTTTGTCTTACCATCTCTCAACACTTTGCTCCTGCCCAGCAACATGCCCTGGAGAAGGGGAAAGCCTGTGAAGTGGTTAGCAGAGGTTTCTTTTTCCTCAGTTAATTCTGGGATCAAGCATATCCTAAGAAATTATCTCCTGCCAGAGCACAAGTTTTTTTTAAAGAATTTTTTAATGATTTATTTAACTTTATTTTATGTGCAATTGTGTGAAGGTGTCAGTTTGCCCAGGAGCTGGATTTATAGACACTTAAGAGCTGCCATGTAGGTGCTGGGAATTGAACCGAGGTCCTCTGGAATATTAGTCACTGCTCTTAACTGGTGAGCCATCTCTCCAGCCCCATCCTTCTGAATGTGAGTGACAGTTGCATGGCTGTGACAGATTGCATTTTGAATTCTAGAATTATGAAGTTTAGAATTCAACTCTGATGTCACCAGATCACCTATCTAGGGGCAGAGTTAAACATCACCTCAGTCATTCAAGCCCCTACTTAGTAGGAGTCCATCACATAACTACAGCTGGAGTCAGATATTAAACTAACTATTTATTTCTAAGGGATCGATTGTAGACTCACCTCTGTGGAACAAAATATTTGTTTAATTCTGCATCACAATTGGGCTATCCTCCATATACCATTCTTCAACCCAGTGTGCTGAAACCTTGTATTCATGCACATAAACTTGGTTACAGAATTGGATTCTTTAGTGACTCTGTCACTCACATTATAGACCCAGTTAAGTTTCTTTTCCGTTCTCAGCTCTACTTTTATTTAAAAACATAAGATAATTTTACCTAAATGATGTGTCTTTGTTATGTCTATACTGCCTAGCTATGGTAAGCACATGAAATTAAAGCTTGATAAATGTTAATGGTAAGTTTGCTAATAGTTTTTTTTTATCATCAGTACCTCCCACAAAATCCAATTAGATGAGAATTAAGGATTAACATAAGTACGTGAAGTAGTTCTGGTTTTAAACTTTTCATCAATTTTCAATTGTCAAATGCTATATGTATGTGTATGAGTATGATACAGGCATATATTTTAGAATGTTTAAATCAAGTCAACTAACTTGCCTATGACCCCACATACTTATTATTTTAAATCTATCTAGCTCTTAATTTTAAAGTAATAAGCCACAGTTACTGTGCTATGACTGAAACTTTTTACTTCTGACCAGTTTTGACTTCATGCTCTGTGATCAAGGTTTTCCTAATACTTATTGTAAAGCTAAAATAATAAAATATCTTATATGAAATTTTTAGACCCAAATGTAACGAATCCAAATATATGTAGAAAATGAAACAGAAAGATTTAGACAAGCGTTGTCCAGTCGTCTTACATAGTAGTTGGTAAGGTGGATTACAGTGCTGCTCGGGTTGAATTAATGGATTAGTAAACTACAGCATCACTCTGAATTATGAATATAGACTGGATGCTGGTGGTATGACTCAGTGGGTAACGGGTAGAGGTGCTTGCTGCCAAACCTGAAAACTTGACTTCAAATCCTGGGACGCACATGATAGAAGGAGAGAACCAACTTCTGCGTCCTGAAAGTTATCCTGTGACCTCTATACATGGGTCACACACATACACACACATACACACAAACACACACACACACACACATACACACAAACACTAAATAAATAAATGCAATAAAATAAATTTTAAGAGAATATAAGCTGAGAAAGGAGCATCTGGGAAGGTTTGAAAGTGAGGCAGTGGTAGAGTGCTTGCCTAACTTTCGTGAGAGCTTAGGCTCTGTCCTCAGCAACCTTCTGCCCCCTTTCTCTGTAACATGTGGGCCTGCTTATTGGGGTTTCTGTCCTGCCCAGTTCCCACAGCCAGTAAGCCCCAAAGAAAATTACACAGAGGGTCTACATTAGATATAAACTGGTTGATCCATTAGCTCAGGCTTGGTATTCGTTCCTTTAACATATATTAACCCATTATTCTTAAGTATGTTAGGCACCTGGCTCGGTATCTTTCTCAGTGAGACAGATCACATCTTGCCAGCCCTAAGGCTACAGAATGGTGGCCAATGTGCCCATGTTACATCCCTCCAAAAGAAGAAGGTAAAAAATAATCTTTGGTAAAATGTATTGTTCTGGACAAAACTGATGGCAGTTTCATCCCTTAAAATTATACTAATGACATAAAGAACCTTTATATCTTGAAGAATTCCTATGACTTTCAACAACTACTGAGTAAAGTAGTATGTTCTCAAATGATTTAAGGATGGGTTGAACATATTTCTCACAGTTATAGTAAGGTAAAATGCTCAAAAGCTGTGATTTTTGTGTTTCTCAATAAATAAATAAATAGAGGAGCGCTCCCCCAGTTTCAAGAACATCATTTCCCTCCTGTTGGAAATAGAGTATAAACACCTGTGTCTCATGAGGCTAGGAAGGCCTGAGTACAGGTGGAAATTGCTCCATCTCTGAGGGACTGAACCACTCATTCAGTTAAGGCTCAACTGAGGACTTGTGTGCGTGTATGTGTGTGTGCATGTGTGTGTGCGTGTGTGTGTGTGTTTGATCTGGAATAAAGATGGTACAAAATCTTTGATTGATCATTGATTATTGTAATAAAAATAGTCATAAGAAGGCCCAGTAAGAAGATAACATTATAGCTTGGTTCATTTGAGAACACAGTGGCTAGAGTCTTGTTGCCAGCTTGGCATTGCCTGTCTTCTTTCTCCTGAAGGTGAGCATTATGATGTTCCTGTGTGGAGCCACTTTTAAACTGGGTCAGAGCAGTCATGCTCCAAGTCAGTCTACTATCCCTTGACAATGTAGCATTCCACACCTTACTTTAGAAAGTTTTCAGTTTTAAATTTTATTTATGTTGTATGTATGCATGTATGTATTTGCATCTGCATGTTGTGCATGCCTCTAGAGTCCAGAAAAAGGCATTGGATCCCGGGGGACTTCAGCTACAGTAGTTATGATCTCCTGACATGGATGTTGGGAACTGAACTTGGGACCTCTGGAAGAACATCAAGTGCTCTTAACTCCTGAGTTATTTCTCCAGTCCCTCTGTGTCTCATCTTCATGATTCCAGTATTCCTGTTGAAATGTTCACATGAAATACTGGAAGCAGAGCTGCATCTTTCTCCAAATTCCAAACACCTTTTGTGTGTGAAAAGGTATCTAGATGTTATGCAAATACCTAGAAATAATTCCTATGCTTCAGAATTTTCTGGATTGAGCACAATCAGATTAAGCTATGTGCTGACTGAATCCTTAAATTGACTCATAAGGCTCTTTTTGTTACTTCCTTTACTGAACTATAAAATTGTCCTCTATTGTATTACTGAAGTTGAAACTATTGCCAAATCTCCATGGAATTTTTCTACTTAACTTACATTACCTGTATGCTTTGATGTAACTTGGAGTTTGAACTTGCTGAACGAAAAATGTTGAAAACTATTTGAAATCAGGTTTATATGATGTGATTGACCTTTTGCTTGCTTTCTTGAATAATCTCTGTTGTGCAGTGGTTAAGAGTGGGTGTCTAAAAATAGCTTTATCAGTAGACCATGGCTGTTATTGGTTATAAACAGCAGCTCTAGTCTTCATATCCTCATCTAACAGAAGAAAACAGTCACGTGTTTCGTTGAGGTGTTATGCCAACTAAGTGCCTTTTTTTTCTGGACAAATACCCAGAACAGTGTAGAGAATAAATACTGTGTTAATTTAGTTAAGAGTAATTATTTGTTATTGTTTTGTTTCATTTCAAACTTTAATTAGCTTAATTGTTTCCTTAAATGGTATTGGGAAGTGATATTTCCTTCCAGGCTAGCTCCATGTCATCTGTTAATATCTTCAGTCGGAATGATCACTAATACACCTATCTTTGGAGAGTTACTCAGCTTCTCTCACAGTGTCAGTAAGGTGAAGCGTTTGTGATTTGTAATTCACTTTTCTCAAGTTCTCGGTTCTCTTACCTTGAAATTACTTAATATTGTATCCCTATCTTATATACTCTTGTACTTAAGGTTTATGTGTTCATCCCATGATAGGAGTGTCTCATGTGCTTGTGTTTGTGTACATGTAGGGATGCCATTCTTTGTATCCTCGGAGTCTAACATGACATCCTTGTTAAACACAGATCAGGGGAATGTCTGATAGACCAAGTAGGACAGTCACAAACAAAAACAAGTTTATCTGGTAGGTCTCTCAAATTCCTTTTTTTCTTCCCTAACTGCCATGGTCGTCCAAAGAACAGCCTGGAATTCGCATCAATCACAAATAACCCATGGTTCAGAAATCATTGGCAGGAGAATCATTCAGATTTTAGCTCGGTGGTCCTGGCTCATTTCATTTTCTTCTGTAATATTATTAGAAAAGGAAAGTGAACTCTGAGGAACAATTGGCAGTTTTGTTTTGTTTTCCCACCAACCAACCATGTTTTCCACAAGTCAACCATATCTAGAGCTTGAGAGCCACTGAAATTCAGTGTGCTATTTCTGTAGCAGACTGTGTTAGGGAAGTGAGGAAGTATATTGCAGGAAAATGAAAGTAGACTTCACTGTACCTTTCTTACTTAACAAAGTCTTACTGAGCATCGCAAGGAAACACCTTTCCCTGACATTTGTAAAACACAAACTGGTTTCTGATGGAATGAGAGGAGCTCACCAAACACTACTCTCAATGTCTTCTCTTCCTGAAAGAGATCTATGGACCTGGCATCTCTGGAAGACGAGGCCTACTTATACCATGTGGTCAGGGTCCCCCAACCAGAAACACCTGTAACTTGTCACCATGAATCTTTCTTCTCTGGAGTCACCAAAAGCTTTCTGTTGTCTACTGGAAATATTTATATATTATCTACCTACCTACCTGACAGACATGCACCATTGACACATAGGACAAGGTTCCATGAAGTGGCACGCATGTGAACCCTGAGCTGCAGAGCAAAAACAATGAGCAATAGGGTTGAAGGTGACATGAGGTAACATTTGCCACCTGGTAGATTTACAATGAAGTACCAAGAGCCACCTTGGAAAGAGAGCCAAAGCTCTTTAGTTTGTAGCTGTGGCAACCTTGCTGGTCAGTTTTATTCCACAGATGTCTATTTATATGAAAGAATTATATCTTTATACAGCATTCCATTTTTAATTTCTCTATTTGTTTGCCTGGCACAGACCCCTGTTAATCCCGTGAAAACAGCTAGGATCACTTTTCAGAACAGAGGTACTCGGGAAGACCTTTGAAATTTTGTTTTGTTTGAAAGACTTATAGTTTTTTTATATAACTTTTGACAATTACTCAACTTATATGTCAGTTTTATAAGTCCATTTTAATATAAAAACAGTAACACTTGTCTGTCTCCTAATAGCTGGTGACTTATGATAGACGGCTTATTTGTTCTAGAATTCAGTTTATTCAGCTTGAATGCAAAGATAATACCAGTGATTACCTCACAATCATTATTGTGATGGACTGAAGCAACACCCTGAGTGATTTCTCAATTAGTACGGTTCAACTTGTAAATTATCAAAATTTTACAATGATTTTTAGGTGATATGAAATCCGTAGAAAATACACTTCAAACATTGAATGTTGCTATTTTCCTTGCCTAGCAATGTGTGTTGTGACAACCTTTCGCAGTGCTGGTTGTATCCCTACTCAATTATGCAATCACAAAGTAAATGGCTGATACCATCCAGTATACCATGTTGCCAACATTTTTGGTTAAGTGTATTCTAAAATTACAAGAAGTACCAAAACTTTACTATGAAAGAGACTTTATGTTAGTTTATTTGGGCTAACTGCAGGCTAATCTATTTTGAATAAGTTTAAGGAAGGCTAGGTTCAGATATGGTGCTTGGTAGATTAAGTTTACTAAATGATTTTGGCTTACAATAATGTTAAATCATGATGGGTGTATTCGGACATGATTCTGCCGTAAGGAGTACTTCCATATATGATGCCCAAAGGTGCTTAGCACATAGTAAGAACCTGAGAATAGTTTGTCATCTTTCCATTTGCCTGTTTTTGCCCTGGATCTGGGAAGGGTGTGTGCACACTGATAAGGAAGGGATAGTGCACTGTGTAACTACTTATGGATGAGTAGAGGAGGTTCCGGAAATATCTGCTAAACATAGCTTAAACTGCACATCTGCTGCCTGGATGACCTCTCAGGTCTCTGCTTGTCCTACTTTAAGTATTTCAAGGAGAGGAAATAGCACAGGCACCACTGAGTATTTAAACACAAGTGGTATTGTAATGGATGCGCTTCTCCTATACAACTAAATTTAAGAGATAGTCTTTAAATTCTTTCCCAAAATGACATATCACAGTAACTATTGTACACTCTAGCCCTAGAAGAAACTATGTTCTTAAAAAAAACCCACCATATCAAATCAAATTTAAATGTTTCACTAACTAACAAATTGTATGTTTGTCTTTTGAGACAGGGTTTCTCTGTGTCGCCCTGGCTCTCCTGAACTTGCTCTGTAGACCAGTCTGGTCTCAAACTCAGAGATGTGCCTTACTCTAACTCCAGAGTGCTGGATTAAATGTGTGCACCACCAGCACTCTGTGACGTAATTTGTTTTTAAAAGAAATATTGATTATTTGCCAGCTATGCACCACACTGAGCTAGCGGAGATAAAGTAAATATCTGAAAAATAGTATTGAGGAAAATTATGGAATTCTGCCTGAGGAATATTTGGTGAAAATAATTGCTGTGGTATCTGTGGTTCTTTGAGAAGATCATACTCATTCCAGTTTTCCTTTTGTGTTTTAGGTGAAGAGTCATGTACAGTACAACTTAGAGTTCTCAGACATTCGGAACATGCCACAGTGGGACAGTCCTTTAAAATGAAATGTCCTGTGACATATTGTGCTCAGAGACCTAATGTGACTTGGTGCAAGTACAGTGGAAAAGATTGTTTACCTCTTGAGCTTGGGCCTCGGCAACATACTGATTGGGAAGACGAGGACCAGGTTCCAGCTTTTACTCTCCGTTTTGAACCAGTATATCTCAGTGACGATGGGTGGTATGGTTGTTCTATAGACTTTACTTCTTATGTTATTAATAGCAACATAACAGTCCTCCATGTGACAGGTGAGTGCTCTATCACAGACCATCTATATAGCTTTCCCATCCTGTTGCTGTGAAAGAGGCAATCCCGACTTTCAGACACTTTGGTTACAAGTTGGAACACTTGTATCAGATCCACAGTCTACCTCGTCTTCCAGGCTGTGACAGTAATGAGGACATAAAGTATTTGTGTAGGGGGTGAGAAGGGTGGGGTCAAGAACAGTAGAGGGAAAATAATGGGAGTTACTGGTCTTTTTGAGACAGGATCTGACTGCCCTGGAGCTCTCTTTGTAACCCAGGATATCATGGAACTCACAGACATCCACCTGCCTCTGCCTCCCTAGTGCTTGGATGAAAGGTATGTGCTGCCACAGCAGACCAGTTACTGACTGTTCTTGTTGTTAGAGATTAAAACATTTATTTGACAGGTTCAGAAATGATCACAATGATATCGTTTTCTTTTTTGTCATTGTGTTTTCTGTTTTTTGTTGATTAGAATTTGTAGACGTTATGTTCACATAAGCAGTAGATTTGTAGCATGAATTAATAAATTAAGATGTAAAAATACCCGATTGTGATCAACTTGGAAGACTCACTATTACAATGATGATATACCCCAAGATTAAACATCATCTCCAACAAATCAAACTTAATTCTAAAATTCACATCATATTGTATAACAGACCCTGAGTATCTAAAATAATCTGCATAAAGAAGAAATATTTCTCTATTCCAAATTTCATTATTAAAATATAGCTACTTAAATACTGTGGTGAGATCAGCATAGTAGAGTTGAGAGTGTAGAATAAAATGCTCTCTGTGATTAATTGACTTTTTCTATTATTTTTATTTTCTGTGCATGGGTATTTTAGCTGGCAAGTATGTCTGTGTATCACATACATGCTGCTACCTCTAGGACTGGAATTACAGATGGTTTTGATCTCCCATATGAATGCTGGGAATTGCACCCGGGCTCTCTGGAAGAGCAGCCAATGCTCTCAACATCTGAGTTGTCTCTATAGGCTCTCAATTTACTTTTTGTTGTTGATTTTTCATTTTTGTTTCATTTTTTGAAACTGTGTTTCAGTGCGTAGTTTTTCCTGGCCTGAAACTCACTGTGTAGACTAGGCTGTGCTGGAGCTCAGAGATCCCCCAGCCGCTTTCTCCAAATACTGGGCTTAAAGGTATGTGTCACCTTGCCCAAGACCCTCAACTGATTTAAATATAGGAAATTAACCTCAAAACTACTTTTACATCAAACCATATATCTGCATAAAAAATTAAGTCTTCATCTTGGATTTTGTAATCATTTCTTAGATATTATTACAAAAGCATAAAACAACAGCACAAGCAGACAGAAAAGACTGTCACAATTCAATATGTTTCTGCATCAAAGATCATCATCATGAGTGAAAATGCACATCACAGAACATGACAAAGTGTTTGCAGATCGCATGCTTCGTGCGAGACTATTGCCCAGAATACGTAATGAGTCTCTGGAGCTATCTCCCTACCTTCTTGGATCACTTCAGGGAGGAACCTTTCCAAGCTGAACAGTGCTACTTTCCGTTGCCCCATCTTTGTGTGTGTGCTTGTGCATGCAAGTACACATACATGTGTGCATATATGTGTCTGCATATGTGTGTATGTGGAAGGCAGAGGTTGACAGTTGGTGTCTTCCTCAATTGCTCTCTACCTTATTTTTTGAGACAAGGTTTCTTGGTGAACTTGGGACTCGATGGAATTGTTAGGCTGGCTAGTCAGTGAGAAACTGAGATGCTCCTGTTGCCGCCTTAGCACTGGATTAGAGACAGGAGCTGACATCTTCTACCTTATATGTGGACACTGAAGATTCAGCAGAGGTCCTCAAGCTCACACACGTGACCCATCTTCCCAGGTCCAGCCTTATCTCATCTCCATCATCATAGTTGCTATGCTATTCCCATCTATTTCAGAATATCCACTTTTATACCTATCACAATTATCCTTTTCCTTTGTAAGGTCTATGTCCCTCATTCATCCCACATTTCCTTTCCCTTTGTATTATATAAAAATATGTCCTGGAACTATAACAATGCTTATAATTAGTAAAATTTGGAAATACAGTAAAAGTATTTTGATTGTTCCCTCTTGAAGTATCTTTCCAGGGGGATACTGGGAATGCCCCCGTTTTTGCTTACAATTCACATTTGTTTTTTATGTTCATAATAGAAATTGGTTTGTGTAAGAACCAATGTGGACAGAAGGAGGCTTGGGTAGTTTTGAGAAAGCATTTGTCTCCTAGAATGAGGAAAAGCACCTTGTGAAACAAAGCAGATTACAAGTAGATGATCTTACAGAGGCAGGAACAGCCACCCCGATATATCCACTGATTTATAGCTCTGTGCCTCTCAGTTGTCCTAGATCATTATGTGTGCAGGAAGATGCGTGCTGTGTGAGAACGCAGGAAGTGAGAGGCACAGTCTTTGTTTCAAAATGAACACCTAGGATCTCACCCAGAACTTCTTTTTCCTGTGGTCATCCACAGTCTCAGGAGCACTTGGGGCTTGAACATTTTATTATATTGCAGGTGTCAGAGGTCACACATGGTCTATGTGCTCATCTACCTGAAGAACGAGGAGGAAAGAACCAAAGAAGTCAGATGAAGTTTATACTGTGTTGACAGTAGTCTTTCTTTAGGCTTGAAAAGAACTCCTTTACTTTGTGTGCCATGATCTCAGGGTGAAGTTCCGTGAACTATGCATGCTGAACTTGACCTGGATTATTGGATTCTCTGTTGTGGCAACATTGGAGTCCTTTCTAAATAACTCTGACCTTAGGGATACCACCTTAGTGTTTACTCAAGCCATTTTAATACTTAATCTTATTTTCTATTTCAGAAAGGACTCAAAATTATTCAGAACACCATCTAATAAGTAAGTATGAAACCGATCAAAATTAGCAAGTTTGTTTGATGATCAGATAAATAATGAAAATAAGGTCTTCTTAATTGGGTTTGTTTGTATTAGATTCTCTATTGTTTGCCATCAAACTGCCTCCCCACAGACAGCTGTGTTTGCTTCTTGACTGTTTGCCCAACCTAAACAGCAGCTGCAGTACATTTATCACCATTCTGTACCATTAAACTATATGCTCACTGTATGTCCTTCTTAAATTACTCCTGATTGTTTGTAACCTCAAAGAAAGGATCTGGGGTCTGGGGGAGGTCACACATACAGTTCAATACTTTACTTCACTGCGTTTGATAATTTGTTAACAGTAACCCCAAAGAAACAGTGTATCTTACATCATAACCCATAATATACACATATAAAAAGCAAATCCACAAAATCCGTAGACAGTGGAGTTGTTTGATTTCTGTGCTATGGGAATTGAGGAGTGCCCTGTGCGATGCAGGGGGTTTATCAAGCCCTGGAGCTCTCCTTACTGGATGCAGATGTTCTCCCACACTGTGATATCAGAAGTGTCTCCCAAAGCTACCACGTGTTTCTGGGAGATGAGAAATTTTCTGGTTGAGAACCACTGCAGCAGTGTGTCTTATGAATTCAGATATTTTCTAGTTTATATTATTTAAAAAACACTATTTTTGATCCACTGAGCTGTGTCACAATTTATTTATAAGTTAAAACCAACCTTGATCAAACAGGGATTAGTAAATTATAACACAGGTCGGTTATAATGAACACTAGCTAGATGCTAAACAAAGCATATTTGGTAAAAATAAAAATATTTGATGTTTGGAGATAACGATAACTTACAAGAGGGAGCAAATGTACTGCATCAGAAACCTGCTGGTGTGTGTCCCAACTGCCATCCATGAGCTGTTGGTCTTTGGGCACTATTCAGAACAGTAACATTCCTTTCAAGTTCTAAAACTGTATAAAAAATGACTTCCTGAACAATGAATTAAATACATAAATGAAAGGGCCTGGCAAAGTGGTTTGTGAGAACTGCTATAGGGATCTTTCTACAGATGCCTCATCCAAGCAGAATGTGAAATGTTCACAAAAGTTAAAAATAGTAGTGGATGGTACTGGGACCACCAAAGGAGAAACAGAGGGCTTGGCCTGCAAGTTCCTTCATTCAACTTATGACACTGCAAAGGGGTACTGCTAACTCTAATGCTTCTAGGACTTTTTTTTTTTTTTTTACTGTTTTCAGCAGGGCCTGATATCCCAGGTGCCACCAATGCCTCAGGTTCACCCACCATGGAGGAGACGGGTGAGCAGGACCTGGCTGCTTTACAGCTTGCTTCCTTTGGTGGCATTGCTTTTGCTGCTTGCCTGTTTCTGCCTGGCCTGTTTCCTGAAAAGGCACCAAAGTGGGTTGCAATTTCCCTCTGCCCTCATGTGCCACATATTTGGGGTTGTTATCCAGGGCTGATGGATTTTTAGCTGTTTAATGTTTTTTTTTCTGGATAATGATTCCTAAGGAACTACTGGTTTCCACTGGAAAACTGAACGCACGAATCTAGTCTTGGCAAGGCATACTCCCACAACTCTAGACTAGCAGTGCTAGAACTTTCTCATTCTATACACATCAATCTTAGGTGTGAACAAGAAAGCATTCTCTTAATCTTTAACCACATTGAAAGGCTGGTTGAAACAATTTCTTCAACCAACATGTTATTCCTTTTGAGCCTTTTCCACAGCTATTCCACATAATTCCCATGATACCCAGCCTTATCTAAATAAAGCATCATTGTCCCCAGCAGGAATTCATATCTATTTGTGCTTTCTATTACTGTTATAAACAAATGCTTGAACAAATATCCTTGTGGTATGATTGAACATCCTTTGTTTGTATGCCCCAAAGTGGTATTGCTGAGTCTTGCAGTAGATTGATTTCCAATTTTCTGAAAAACCTCCATACTGGTTTTCAGAGTGGCTGTACAAGTTTTAATTCCCACCAGCAACAGAGGAGAGCTCCCCTTACTCTGCATCCTTTCCAGCATAAGCTATCATTGGTGTTTAGGATCTTAGTCTTTCTGACAGGTGTAAGATGGTATTTCAGAGTCATTTTGATTTGCATTTCCCTGATGACTAAGGATGTTGAACATTTCCTTAAGTGTCTTTCAGCTATTTGAAACTCTTCTATTGTGAATTCTCTTTTTAGATCTGTACCCCATTTTTAAATTGGATTATTTGATATTTTGATGTCTAGTTTCTTGAGTTCTTTATATATTTTGGAGATCAGTCCTCTGTTTGATGTGGGGTTGATGAAGATCTTTTCCATTCAGTAGGCTGCCTTTTTTTTGTGTTATTGACTGTGTCCTTTGCTTTACAAAAGCTTCTCAATTTCAGGAGATCCCATTAACCAACCTGAATGCACTGGATTTGTCTGATCTCAGAAGTTAAGCAGGGTAGGGCCTGGTTAGTACTTGAATGGGTGTACAACATTTTCTTTATCTATTTTTCTGTTGATGAATATCTAGATTGTTTCCAGTTTCTGGCTATTGTGAATAAAGCTGCTATGAATGTAGCTGGACAAATGTCTTTGTGGTATATGGTGGAGCATCCTTTGAGTATATGCCCAGGAAAGATATAGCTGTGTCTTGAGGTAGGTCGATTCTCAATTTTCTGAGGAATCACCATATTGATTTCCATAGTGGCTGTACAACTTTCGTGAATAAGACCTGTTGAAAGGTCTTTGCAACCTCAAAATTACCTTCCCCAACCATAAGCAGGAAGAAGTTTGGAGCTAACTAATGTGGGAGTCCACTTTGTGTACTGTGATTACCATAAATGAATAAAGAAACTGCTTTAGACCTATAGCAAGGCACAATTTAGGTAGGCAGGGAAACCTAGGTTGAATGCTGGGAGAAAGAATGGTGGAATCAGAGAGAAGCCATGGAGCTTCCACCAGAGTCAGACATGCTGAAACTTTGTCAGTAAGCCACTGCCACGTGGTCATACACATATTAATCGAATGGATTAAATTAATATGTATTAACATATTAGTCATTTAGAAGCTAGAGCTAATAAGCTAAGCAGTGATTTAATTAATACAGTTTTTGTGTGGTTATTTCAGGTCTAAGCTAGCTGGGAACCAACAAGAAGCCTCCATGCAACAAATTGATGCCAACATGGTTGATTAAAATCCACTTACAACCTAAGGGCTTGAAAAGGAATTCTAGACAGAAAAATAGTTTAACACAGTTTCTTGCTGTTTGCTGGCAGCATGTCACAGATCCTTTAAGAGAAGCTTTCCTGATTCAGGAGTAGCAGAAAAGAAACCACACTGTTTTGAAATGCTGACTTATTGGGTCATGCTACCAGTGCAAACTCTGACTCTTTCAGGCAAGAGATTTAGCTACAGAGCATTTGGGTGAGGTTTGTGAGCAGACTGCTGCAGTCTGCAAAAGGACAACATGGACTGACTGTGTGACTGAGAATGGGGCTATGTGTATGGCTCTCAGAGGTGTGAGTGGCTCCACCATGCTGCACTGGGCTGGCAAGCATAAAGTACCGTATATACCATAGTAATGGCACAGCTTAAGTTCTAAGAAGTATTTTAAAAAGTGCTTCTGGACAGTAAAGAATTACAGATATGCAATAAAGACAAATCCAGATGAGTCATAGTGTTGGATAAAGGGTCATAGGCTTGGAAGAGAGAAGAAAAAGTGTATTGAGAGTCATAAAATAAAGTTAATGATTTAAAAAAGGGTAAAGTTTTTAAAGAGATAGAGTACAGGTAGTCAAAGATTAAAAGGAGTAAAGAAAAATAAGCCATGTAAAAATGGAAAATTCACAGAGTCTGGATTATATATATTATTGTGTTATCTTTGAATTTTTTGACTGTGAGTGGGCTAAGTACAGAGAGACATTTCATTGTATGGGCTACTAAGCTAAACCATCTTGTATATTATAAAGGTATCATGACTTCCAAATTTGGGTCTAAGGATATGTTGCTTTGGAAAAGAGGTTCTTCTCTTGTTTCCATAGAGGCTGAGAACTTGTGAATTGCTTCTAGACTGGTGTGATTTGATAGAACAAGACCCACTGAAGGTCACTGTGAACACCCTCCAAAAGTTACTATGCCCTACAATCAACAGAAAGTAGTATAGAGAAAACTATGCCCATATTCCCAAATATTGTCTATAAATTTTTGTTTACATTTAAAGGGGAATATTATACAGATATGAATAATTTGCATTGGTATGGATCTTGGTTTATTGATACAAACTTAAGGTATATATATATACATATACATATATATATACACACATATATATACATATATGCTCTTGATTAAGGTATGGTGTTTGTGTAGCTCATTTAAGGATGTAATGTATAATTAAGAAATGCAAGTTAATAGATACTCATCTATATTAGTCAAGCTCATAGTCATGTTAGATTTACTAGATGTATAGAGTTATATTTCAGATAGATAGGTTTTTAAAAATGTTTCAGAGACCTTCAGAATATGGCATTTAAAATGTTTTAATAACTTAGGCCTTTTCATGACAATGAGACACATCTGCTTCTGGCAGCACAAGCTCCTCCATGCAACAGAATTCCCAAATATTGTTTTTAAATGTTTATTTACCTTTAAATGGGAATATGATATGAAGATTAATACTTTGCAATGGTACTGTTCTTTGTTTATTGATACAAATTTATATATATATAAATATATATATTTATATTATATATTTATATATATGTTCTTGATTAAGGTATTGTGCTTGTGCAGCTCATTTAAAAATGTATAATTAAGACATATATGTTAATAAATAGTCATCTATAATAGCCAGTCTTGTAGTCATGTTAGTTAGGTTTTCTAGATGTACAGAGATGTTTTTCAGAAGGCTAGGTATTCCTCAAACCTTTCAAAGACTACAGAAAATGGCATTTAAAACGTTTTAAAAACTTAGGACTTTCCATGACAATGAGACTCATCTGTTCCTGGTAGTGTCAGAGGAAGATAGGCATCAAAGAGGCTCCTTATGGAATTGGTTAGTCATTTGGGCAAGAAACTGCTCTTGCCTGAACTGCTTGATAAAAAAATTGGACGTGCAGGACACACAGAAAAATGACTGCTGAATTTACCTAGAGGTGAGATGGTCCTTTGTAGTTCCTGCTTCATGGACTGCCAGCTATTCTTCGGGACACAGAAGAAAGTGACCGACAGAGAGCCAATATAGGCACTTTGCTCTCCCAGTAAAGTTTATCCTTGGGTTTAGAGACATCATTTAGGGGTTGATTATGGTTGTGACTTTGGGGAGGAATTTTATAAGCTCGGGGATCTTTAGAAAAAAAGAAGAGGAAAAATTGGATGATGGGATAATAGATTGGTATTTGTAAGCTATTGGTTATAGACAACTACGTTGGTATAGATTCTTATATATGGATAATACAAAATTAAATTATATTGAATATTGTATGCATGCTTCTACCTCTGTTTAAAACATTCTTTATGTATTGATATATGTATATATATTTACCATATTGCAGTGTACATTTATACCTCTGATTAATATACTTATATATTGTTTACATTTGGAGGTCATTGTCCTCATTGTTGCACAGTTAGTCTTTAAGTTAGATAGTTATTAGGAATTATAGATCAATAGTCATCTATGTTTGTCATATTTATAGTTAGACTAATCAGATTCTTTAGATACATAGGGATTATATTCTGTATAAATAGATAATCTTCAACCTCTTTAAAGAGCTGTAGAAAATGGCATTTAATTTAATCTTAGAATTCTATGGTAGGGAGACACAATTGTTCCTGGCAACACCGATCTGTTCCTGAGATTGTTGAGCACCAAAGACACTCCACTTGGAGCTTGTCTTCTTCTGGGCAAAACCAGCCTCTGGGCAAGGAATTGCACATACCTCAATTACTGACAAAATACGTAGTATCCGGAAATGGATAAGCAGAACTGTCAAATCTTGCCAAGACAGGGTAAGACGGTTTTGAAAAATTTCTTGCCTTTAAAAATAATCTGTCAGTTATTCTAGGCCTTAGCCAAAGTTGCTTGCTTCAACACTGCAAACATGACTTTGGGTGATTGCCCAGGTAGCCAGTTGTCTCTGTGATTTGTTTCATATTTTGGAAGTTGTTTGATTGTACTTCCTAATTACTCAGGTAACATTATTTCCCTTCTCAGATCTTTGAGGGGGTTGAAGACTAGATAAATGTAGTTACTTTCCTCTCATGTCTTGGCCAAGTTATCTATTATACAAGACCTAAGTTAGTTAGAATAGATTATTTGTTCTTATTGCATACAATTTCGTAATAGATTTAGAAATCTCTTAAACAAAATGGGGAGCTCTTTCTGCTCCTTCAGCCAATAGCCTTTAAGATACCAGCCCATTTGGGTGTGGTCTCTGCTGCTTTTTAAAACAGCAGTAACTGTGAGCTCTCTCTCTTGGTTTGGACTCCACTTCCAACTATTAGATCCCTTTCCTGGTCGTGCAGAGGGTTGTTGTCTAGGACAGTGATCTGTAAGTTTTTCCTTTAAATATATAACCCTTTTATTAATCATAATTCCAAACTGGTGTAGGATTGTTTTGTGGCTTTTGCCTTCATGCTATGAAGGACCATTAGGTATTGGTTCTCAAAGAACAGAGAATGAGAGTTTTCTTTGTATCATCTCTGTTTTTAATTGAAGATCTTATGTGCTTTTGTTGTCTCTTGTTATTTGGCATAGGATTTTTTTTCTTTTATACTTGAGATGTGCATTTAGAATTAGTTCAATTCTACTATTAAAGAACATGATGATGCCTCATAGTAGCATGAATATGTTAGGGTAACAAAATAATTTTATTCTTTTCTTCCTGTCTCTTTATTTATTTCTTGAAAAGCATCAGTCTTAGGCAGAGAAAAGAAACCATGAAGATGGCAATTCTTATAAAGGAAAGCATTTAATTTGGCCTTGATTACAGTTTCAGAGCCTTAGTCCATTATCTTCATTGTTGTTAGAATGGAGGCATGCATGCAGACATGGCAGCTGAGTGCTCTATACTTGGTCTGAATCTGCAGGCAGCAGGAAGAGGTTGTCACTGAGTCTAAGATGAGCATCTGAAACTCCAAAGTCCATCCACAGCAACACACTTCTTCAAAGAAGACCACATCTTTCTCTAATAGTACAAAACCCACTAATGACTACTCATTTAAATATATGTGTGATCTTGGCGCACACTGGTACACCAAATGTTGGTTAAATTTCAGAACTGTGTCTACTCCTTAATCAATTGCTATTTCAGCCAACAACTGTTACTCCACAGTTACCGACCTGTATCTCTATCAGCAGACACTAGGGTGGCAGCCTGGCAGAAATTCTGTTCCTGTGGGCACTAGTTCTCTCACTACCACTAAAGGTAGCTTCAACAAAATATCTACCATTCTATTTATAAATCAGTCTCACGATTCAAAGGCTGGATTGAAACCTGCCAGATCAAAGGGACTAGGTCACAACTAGATAACCTCTCCTTGCTGGTGTCTCCAACAAGCCTCTGTTCCACCCTTCCAAATCAAAACAAAGAAAGATGTGCCAATCCAAATTTTTCCCTACTACTCCCTGTGTTTCTTTTCTTCATGCCATCTGCTGCTCTATGACTGCTTCCTGTCAACTAGTTGTAACTCAGTCTCTTGAATCATGGTTATTTTTATTTAAACAATGCAAATGCAAAATTTGGGCTCACAGTGTGATTGAATATCCCCCAGTAGATGACATCTGGAGAAAGGAGTTTAATTAAGTCAGTCAGGCATCTTGCATTATGCCTAACCAGCAAGGGGCTGAAATAAGGAAAGCAGGGCTACTCTACAAATTTTTGACAAAATAAAGTTCCTCATAAAATGGAAATACTTTCTTAGTATGTAATAAATCTATTTTAAAAAATGTTGAGATAGATGTTGACATATGATGATACAACTTCTAATTACTATTTTATAATAATTTAAATATTTAAAACCCTTATTTAAATATTTTCTAGAGTCAAGATATTCAGGTCTGGATTGGAATCAAATGACACAGAGTAGTTCATTACCCATGACAGAAAGCATTATTCTTCTTTATCTTGTGGTCAACATTCTGGCTTTAATTAGGGGATGGCATCTGGAGAAAAGAGTTTAACCAAGCTATCTTAGGTAGTATGCGTACACTGGAACTGTCAAGGAGCTGGAAGAAGGAAAGAAAGTTTATTCTACAAGCAATTTAACAAACTAAGGTCATTCATAAATGAGAAAGGGTGGATTAATATCTTAAGAATGTAATTTCCAAGATATTGACATGTCAGTGATGATTAAACTTCTAATTCTTGCCTTATAATTATTTAAACATGTAAACATTCTTATTTAAATATTTTCTAGCATCAAGTTGTACAAATGGATGTCAAACATCACAGAATGATTCATTACCTGAGGCAGAAGGTACTATTCTTCTTTATCTTGTGGCCAGCGTTGAGGAAATGGAGAATTTACCTTGCTTAGAAACAGTACCTAATGCTTTGGCTTCTGGAGAGACTTAGGATGAGTGGAAGAATTTGGTGATGTGAGAGTTATGGCAGGAGACCTGAACAGTGGCTTCTGCACCTTTGCTGTCTTAGAGTAAGAAAGGCTATGGGATTAACATCCTCCAAAGTCTGTGCTAAAGAACCCTTCATTATCTAATTAGATGACATTTATCTGATGTGACTTGTGAGGACCTGAGGACCCAAAGGGGCAAGCACCACTGAAATGGTATAGTTGAGATTGTTAATACAATGCTTACCAGAGTCAAGGCTTTCACAGCGACTTCTGCTCCTGTTAAAGTGGTGACATCACTGACTCTTTTGTCACAGGTGACTATAACAGATAATTTTTTGTGGTTGCTTGAATATTATTGGCTCCCATAGTCTCATACAGAACAGCACTATAAGGAGATGTGGCTATTTTGGAGTAAGAATAGCCTTCTTGGAGGAAATGTCTCAGTGTGCGGGTGGACTTTGAGGTTTCCTCTTTTCTGGAACTGCCCAGTGAGGCAGTTGACTTACTGTTGCTTGCAAAGTGTAGTCTCTCAGCCCCAGCACTACATCTGCCTGCATGCTGCCATGATCCCTGTCTTGATGAAAATGGACCAATCCTCTGAAACTGTAAACAAGCCACTCTAATTAAATGCTGTCTTTATAAGATTTGTCACGGTAAGGTTGTCTCATCACAGCAATGAAGACCCTAACTAAGACACCCGTAGACTAAGAATTACAGGTGACTGTGGGGTGCTGAGTAGGGGAAGAAATAGCCTTCCCTTATGAGATTGTCCCCTAATTGTTTATCCAATACCAAGTAGCCAGGTCTGAAATCATGTGCATTCAAGCAACCTAAACTAAGCAAATATCATTTGCATATTATGTAAAAATAGGCAACAAAAAGAATTAAGAAAGAAGAAGTTAGGAACTTAAGAGGGAGCATTCAGAGGCTGGAAGAAGGAATAGGAATGGACAGAAAGGATGCAATTATGAAGTAAAAGGAGCAGCTGGCTACATTCCCACTCAGATCCTGGCTAGCTTACCCACAAAATAATCACAGAAACTGTATTCATTTAAACATTGTCTGGTCCATTATATCTAGCCTCTTCTTGGCTAACTCTTGTAACATCCAATTTTGTGTTACCCCCATGGTACAGTTCGCGTGCCACTGTCCCATAAGCAAGTCAGGCAAGGGCCTGGAGATTGAAAGAACACATAAGAGACCTGGGTCATTTGAAAGGAGATCAGCCGAATGCCATTTATTTAACCTTGGGGAAATCCTTATATACCTAGCTGAGGTATAAGGATTTCCCCCCAGGCAGGTGGGAAATTACCATACCAAAGATGAAACAATGTCCTATACCTAATCACCAGGAGGGGCAGAGGGAGCACAGGAACAAACAGAATGTTTTAGCTGGCTGACCAGGAACTGTCCTTCAAGATGCACCCCAGGAGTAGGGGCAGATCCAGACCCTAAAAACTCTTCCATCTTAATTAACCCATTTCTAATAATCTGTATATCACCACGTGACTGTGGCTTACTGGGATGAGTCTAACCTACGTCCTCTCAGAGAGGAGAGCCATGGCATCTGCCTGACTCTGCTTTCTTTCTCCCAGCATTCTGTTCAGTCTACTCCACCTATCTAAATTCTGCCCTATCAAAAAGCCAAGGCAGTTTCTTTATTTGACCAATGAAAGTAACACATAGACAGAAGACCTTCCTATACCACAATTATATTTTCATAAAAATAAAGTACACATGAGACCTTTTTCCTTATATAAGTGGGAAGTATTAGCAATAATTAGCGTTTAGTGTGCATCTATTCACTGTAAAATATTTTTTAATGCTTATCAATCACAAAAGCTGAATAAAGTGGCTAAAACAAAATCCTGAAATAATAAAATCTGAGTGATATTTCAATTATAATAGATAAGGTTTTTCTGATTTTGATATTCCCTAGAACTTTATGAATACTATATGTGATTTTAAAGGTGTTTGTCTTATTTCTTGATTCGAATCATTATTGCACTGACTTGTCCTTTACCGTTTCCTGTAGTTACAGGTGTCAGCATCACACTGCATTCCCTGCTGACCTTTCTCTATGTGAAACTTTCCCTTCTGGGGATTATTCTGCTTATCCTAGGATTTGTTTTCTTCCAGAAGAGAAATTATTTCAGGTAGGAACAAAACTGAAATGTTAAGACTCCTAGAAAAGTTGGAGCTCATAGTGGACTGGGAAAGTGTATCATATGGTCCCATCACAGTTGTTCCCTCAGCTCTCCTTCAGCATCAGGCTTTCTTTAAATAATGGAGCCCTGGCACAGATACCCACAGCATTGGCAAAAGTGTCTGCATTGCTGCAGTTCTGAGGAGGGACTTAGCCTGGCACTTTCTTTCAGGAACCAATGGTATAAATGAAGTTGCAGGAACTTTATGAATTTATTTACAAGTTTCTTGACACAAACGAGCTTCATCTCATTCCTGCTTAATTGCATTTTATAATGTATATTTTTGTTTATTTCAAGAAAATGAAAATCTGGATTTCTGAAGCCCATTAGGCTGTACAAGAAAACAGCCATTTGCCATCTCCTTTCTCTTTGATAGCCATCTCAACTGCTCCTGATGTCTTCATGGTTGTTAGAAGTCGTATGACTGACCACCTGCAGTCATGCAGTATGAATCTACAGACAAAAGCTTGGATCTTACCACCATACATGTATGAATGGCTGTCTTCTTTCTCCCTTCCCCAAGTAGCAGGTCAAGGAAGAAGAAGGCTTATCAAATGGTGGTCAACAGTGCTGACTGGATATTCTTCCCCCACATCCTCCAGGAATAGCTTCCATCGACTTCCTGTTCCTAGTGCATTTTACATGATCATAAATGTTACACTGTCAGATACCGTGACAAGCAACACCTTCAAGTCAGCCACTTGCAGGCCTTCTTTCTTGCTTTTTGCTACCAAGTAGCTAGACAGTTGTGTTTTGTATTAATCATTGAATACATATGATGTGAGATTCCCTTTTGTATTCTGTCAATACGCTTTGTAACCATTGGTTAATTAAAAAAAAAAACTGCTTGGGGCCTCTGGAAGGGCAGAATAGAGCTAGGCAGGAAACCTAAACTTTATGCTGGGAGAAAGAAGGCAGAGTCTGGGAGATGCCACGTAGCTGCCAAAGAAGACAAATGCCAGAACTTTGCCTGGTAAGCCACAGCCTTGTGGCAACACACAGCATAATAGAAATGGGTTAGTTTAAGATGTAAGAGTTAGTTAATAAGAAGCCTAAGCTAATAGGGCAAACAGTGTTTTAATTAATACAGTTTATGTGTGATTGTTTCAGGACTAGGCAGCTGAGAATTAAAAAGCAGTCTCTGCCAACTTATATAGCTAGAAACCATTTTGCTTTGGTTGGTATCGCTGTACTTTAGTAGAAGTTAAAAGTTTAGCCCAGAGAAAGCACTGCCAGTGTCATGGAGATAACACTGGAAATCCCCTTACTCTTTAGAGCTCCAGTGTCTCAATCTCCTTGGCTGTCTGCATTGTGACTTACACGGGTTGGGATGAATCAGTGAGGGTAAGGTTAAGATACTGGTGAACCCTAATAACTATAAACCAAAACCTTTTCTTTACATGACACAGATAGTAGTCTTATAATAAAAAAATGTATTTTTAGATAAAAGAATTATTTCTTGGGTAAAGTGGCAAGTGATTTGGACTATTACTTTTATTTTTATTATAAGTCTAGGTAGAAAATGAGTGCCTGATACTAGATGATGCCTGGATGGTAGCCTCAGGTGGTTCTTTAGAAGTTTAAGTCTTGTCCATTTTGCACTTTCATGCTGATCATGCCAGAGCAGAGAATAAAGGGGTGTTGCTCTAACTAATCTCATGTTTCATTCTATAAATCTGTTCTCAGAGCAGTTTATATTCAGTGGTGACTAAGGAGAGGAAAGGCTTTTACTTGGGGATAATTTATGAGTCAGTCTGGGAGTAGTAAGTCCATCTGTTCCTATGACCACACTAACTTGTAGGAAGTCTACACAATGTCTATTTGAAGAAAAAGCTTGTGGATTGGTAAACAATTTGCAAATATTTGTACAGAACAAATGATATGAATTTGTATTGTGTTATTGTGTTATGGAATATTTGTTAAGAAGTGTTACATTTGTTTATGGTCTGGAACATTTGTTTAGTGATGCAAAAATGTATTGCATTCTTTCATTTTACATTGGATTAATTCTGTGAAACTGTGTTACTTTGCCTACAGAAATAACCTGATTGGTCTACTAAAGAGCTGAATGGTAAATAACTGGGTAGAGAAAGGATAGTTGGGGCTGGCAGGCAGATTGAAATAGGAGGAAGAATCTGGGAAGGAGGATCCAATCAAAGGAGTTAGAAAATAAGGGAGGAGGAGATCAGGGGCCAGGCATCCAGCTACACAAGTGATGCAATCAGAAGTAAAGAAGGGTGTGTAGAAAGGTAAAAGCCCAGAGACAAAAGATAGACAGGATTAGGTTAAGAAAAGTGGGCTAGAAACAAGCCAAGCTAAGGCCCGGCATTTATAAGCATTAAGAATCCATGTGATTTCTTTGGAAGCTGGGTGGTTGGCCCACAAAAGTACAAAGAGCAAAAGCATAAAAGTAAAAACTACTAATAACAAGGAACAGTGTTAATATCAAAATTAGTGCCCATTTTGATAGTAGGAAATCAGTATGTGTCAAGCAGTAAATAAATTCATAATTGTCATTTAAACACATGTTAGGGATGAGCTCTTCTTTTCTCCCTTTTCATTACAACTTCATGTTTAAGTCAGGACATAAAGAGTTAAGAGATCTAGTACTGTAATTCTAAAACAGACTAGGAAATACAGGGGCAGAGATTACAAGTAACTCGGTTCGTTGTCTCTCTTCCCTGTTCTACTTGTTGAAGACAATTCTCTTCATGACTGAATCTTTTTTTTTGTTTTTTTTTTCAGCTAATGCATATTTATTTTTTTAAGTAATTTTATTAAATTATAAAAGTTTCCATTTCTGCCCCACCTCCCAACACCCTCCCACTCCCCCCACTCCCTCTCCTCCTCCCTCTTCGTCCCTAAGGGCAGTCAGGGTTTCCTGCCCTGTGGGAACTTCAAGCTCCTCCCCCTCCCTCCAGGTCCTGGAAGGTGAGAATCCAAACAGACTGGATCCCCAAAATCCAGTATATGCAGAGGAAACAAGTCCCAGTGTCATTGTCAATGGCTTTTCAGAAAGACTTCGGGCCAGCCACATTCAGAGAATCCGGCCACATTCAGAGAATCTGGTTGGATCACATGCTCGTTCAGTCCCAGTCCAACTGGCCTTGGTAAGCTCTCATTAGATCCGTCCCCTTGTATCAGTGGGTGATAGCATCCCTCGCAGTCCTTATTTCCTTTTTCATTTTCTTCGTCCTTCTGCTCCTCATTTGGACCTCGGGGGGCTCAGTTCGGTGCTCCAATGTGGGTCTCCGTCTGTATCGCCATCCATCTCCAGATGAAGGATCTGGATGAGGGCTGGGATGGGATTCGGGAGAGCTCACTTCATGACTGAATCTTCACCCCACCTCTCTTGTCTTATTTCTAGTAGATCTCAAAGTTATTTCCATAAAGAGTTTATGGACAGTCTTTATTCACTCCAAGTAGTTTTCTCTGGCCAATAAAAAGATACATAAATGACAGTTTGTCAGTTGTGAGTTTGGGTCTCAAAATGTCCTGAGTGTTCCTACTTTTCATTCTCTGGAAATATGGATGACCTACCTGCTGAAGGATGGGAATAGAACACAGCTGATCCATGTCAGTCAAGTCTTTCCTCTCTCTGTTGAGTCAGCTCAAAAATACAAGAATGACATTTCCCTCAGTCTCTTAAGTAAGTTCAATCATAAGACATAATCCTGTGCTAATCCTAGACAAGTGAACAGTCATTGTCAAAGATTTCCTGAGGTTTCTTATCAGCTAGCATATTTGTGACATAAAGTAACTCACATATTACTCAATAACATAACTGCAATTATATAAGGACAGACATAGCTAATAATAGCCTCTTTCAGTTTCCCTTGCATCTGAGCCTGACCAGTAGCTCTGGCAAATAAGATGTGTGACAGTTTTGCAACAACCTTTTAGAGAAATTGAAGGGTTTTCTATTGATTTCCAGTGTATCTGTGGAACTGCAGTACTGGTGTGAAACCTGGAGGTCCCAGATCTACATAAGCCATGGATAATTCTGTGGATGGAAGTTACTAATTTCAGTTTAAAAAAAATGAAGGATTTGGACCTGATGACCATAGATTTGCTCTATCAGCCCTAGACCTTCCATTTGTTATCTAGGTGTAATAGAGAATAAACCATGTTTTTCACAGCATCACTATTTGAAATTTTGCTTCGTATATAGCTGAGATTAATTCGAAGTGAAATAAATACTTAACTGGTCAATTAGGAAGTTTACTATGATTATAATTGGTTGTGCTATACTTATGTGCATATTCTGAATAATTTTTGTTTTTCCCTTAAATCTTCTCTTAGTGTTCCTGTTGTTGTGAAGAGATACCATGACAAATCTTATAAAGCAAACATTTAGTTGGGGTGGCTTGCTTACAGTTCTAGAGGTAGCATGTAGGCATGTAGGCATGTAATGCTGGAGTAGTAGCTGAAATCCTACATGTTGTAGACAACAGGAAGTTGACTGACACTGAGCAAAAGTCAACTGAAAGGAACCTCAAAGACAGTCACTCACTTTCTCCAACTAGGCCATAACTAACTCAACAATGCTACACCTCTTAATACTGTCAGTCACTTTAGAATTGTGATAGCCAATTACATTCAAATTACCACATTCAACTTCCTGGACCCCATGACAATACCATAGTGCAAAATTCATTTAGTCCAACTTCAAAAGACCCCCATATATTTTGAAAAATATCACAGTCTCAACAATGTTTTAAATTTCAAAGTTCAAAGCATTTTCTGAGATTCATGCCATCTATTAATTTTAATCATCTGTAGAAATCAAAACAAAAAACAGATCACATACTTCCAATGTATAATGGTACAGAATATATACATTACCCTTCCAAAACAGAGGGAAGGAAGCATAGCAAGGAAATATTGTACCAGAATAAAGCTGGAAACTAGCTGGGAAACTCCAAACACTGCAGCTCTGTGTCTGATGTCAAAACACTCTTCAGATCTCCAACTCTGTTCAGCTTTGTTGACAGCCACACACGTCTTTCTCTTGGGCTAGTTCCACTTCTTGTTAATAGCTCTTCTTGACAGGTATCCCAGGACTCTGGTATCTTTGACATCTTGAGTTAACCAAGACAATCTAGGCTTCAAATTTACAGCTTTACACAATGACCACAATGATCAAGGGGAAAATCAACTAAAAAGACATTTCAGTACTTAACATCTATACCCCAAGCATAAGGGCACCCACTTTTAAAAGAAATTACTACAGCTTAAATTACGTAGTGACCCTCATACATTTATAGTGGGAGACTTCAATACCTCTCTCTGACCTATTGACAGGTCATCAGACAAAAATTAAACAGAAATGTTGTCGAGGTTTCTGTCCTGCCCAGTTCCCGCAATCTTAAGTCCCAAAGAAATCACACAAAGGTCTACATTAGTTATAAACTGATTGTCCCATTAGTTCAGACTTCTTATTCACTCTTATACTTATATTAGCTCATTATTATTATCTATGTTAGCCACATGGCTTGTTACCCTTTTCAGCGAGGCAGTCACATCTTCCTTCTTCTGTGGCTGGGCCAGGACTCCAGAGGAATATGGGCTTTCCTCTTCCCAGAATTATTCTGTTCTCATTGAACCACCCCTCTTTCCCATCTGGTTGTCCTGCATGGCTACTGGCCAATCAGCGTTTATTTAAAATATAATTGACAGAATACAGACCACTGTCTCACACCACAGAAACACTGGAGCTAACAGATATTATAAACCAAATGGATCTAATAGATATTTACAGAACATTTCAACCAAACTCAAAGAATATACCTTCTTCTACTTAGCACCTCATAGAACTTTGTGCAAAATTGACCACATACTCTGACA